ATGTACAAAAGTTGCCCGAGCTGGCTCTTTCTTTGTAGAAAAAACTTTTTTTATTTAAACTAGAATTTTCAAGGTATGGGATCGTGTAAGATTAACTGTAAATTTATACCTACTGTTTTAAATTAATATATTATTTTTATTTTAATCGGTCCAATTCCGATCACTAGTTTAAGTAATATCATCCATAGGTACAGGAAATATAAGCAAATTGTAAAATTAAAATCAAGTTAACTTTAAAATTAAAAATGTCTTTAACAATAAAAAAAAGTAAAAAAAATTTAATTGGCAATATTTCCAATTTTTAGTGCTAGTCATGCATTTTTTTACCGTTTTTAAGTGCGTATGTCGAAGCGCTAAAAAGTGATTTTTTAGACTATYTCGTTTGATAGCTACTGAGAATCGTTAGCGATATAAATTATAATAACATCATCAGCGGTGGTGACGAGCTATATGTTATAGTAATATGTGAGATAGGTAGTACCTTTGAGGGGCAAAACCTTTGAATCGAAATTCGGTGACGCCGTTGCAGCCACCTCGCCACCCGCGATCACACCTTCGGAATACACACGTTGGAGCAATCGGCGAACGTCGTCGGCCGTCATCGACACTGCAGCAGGCTCATCGTYGGGAGGCCGACGTGCTAGGTCTTCAAAGTCCATGCGTCGAACGTAATACGGTAACAGGCCTATCCTCTGCACCGGAACGGGTCTCCGCCGACGAATCAGCACATTCGCCACAGCCGGTTTCTCTCGGTACGTCACACGATTTTCGTAGTACTCTGCGGGTTTCACCAGGTACCGATCAACGGTCCGGGTCGACTCCAGCACGGTGTCTGCTGCTGCTCCGTCACTGCTCGAGCCGCCACCGATGAACGACGGTAGAGCGCACCTTTGATCGCGTTGTTCCGTCTGTCTGGCACCTCTGTGTGATGATGGGCTGCCTTCTACCGCTACCGGCGTGGCATGGCCAATCCGGACGGCAGCGGAGGCGTTTTCCTCGAAACCGGAAACGACGTTTTCTCCGAGCACGGATGTGGCGTTACCCGCCGCCGACCAAATCGTCATCGTCGCGTACAGAACCAGACGAGTCACTACGCGGACGGTGCGCGCCATCATCGCGATCGTCGTTCTCGCCTTCAACGATTTATTATAAGCCGATCAAACACAATATTTACTGCGAACAAAATAATAATTTTATTCGTTGGCGATCTCTTGCAGCGAATTATAACGAACACTCGATGACCCGAAGTCCGTCATCACACTACTATTGCGGGAGAAATAAACGATGTGCAGCGTGACGACCGTGATCGGTGCGGTGATGTCTATTGGTTTTTTTCGTCCTCTTGTTTGGTCTTTTGGTGAAAAATTAACGAATCTTCGGCCCCCGGCGGAGAAAAAACTGCACTCGCCTTTTCGATGTTATTTTCTAATAACAATATTATACATATTATTATAATATTAGAGAAATTATTGTTTCTGTGTAACAGAACTCGTTCTTGGTAAAAACCAYTGCGCTACTGCTCGATGGTTGTGTTAGCGTATTACATAAACAAAACATTTCGGAATGAATTGTACATATTTTATACAATACAACAATAATAATATTGCTTTAATGAAACATTAATCTACTAATCTACTGATCAGAGTGCTTGTACAATATACTCCACTAGGAACATAGATATGACATACTTAACTACCTAAACTACCTAGGTATATATTCGTCAAATTTGTTTAGTCGCACGGCACTGTTTTTTTTTTTTTTTACCACCTATTCAATCTCTAGTGTATATCAGTGATGCCCACGAAACAAAGTTTGGCTATATGAAAACGATAAGATACAGTTACGATATAAAATAATTTAGACTGATATGATCGGAAATGTAGAGCAGATAACATTAATTAAAACTTGAAGTCATTACGAAAAGGTATTTTCATTTTATTGATATACATTTTTAAATACCTATCTTGCACGCCTCTGTAGTCTGTATACCTATGCCAATAATGCATAATATACAACAAAAACATATACATGTATATATAATTGATTTAAATATTTTAACAATAATTAATACATTGTTATAAAATGTTCAGTTTTCTAGTTCTCGCAGTACTTACTACTTTGCTAATCAATTTTATTATATTTCTTTTATAGATTTCTTCAGACTTTTACTCGAATGGCATTCAAAATTCGGAGACATTTATCAACTATGGATTGGTCTTCGACCATTCATAGCAATGGCTGACGCTGATCATATTCAGGTAATTTAAAAATTATCTATGTTATTACGAACATTTTGTGTTGAGTTAATATGCTAGAAATCTTTTAAATGAATACAATAATTATTGGCCAAGCAGGTGTATAGAATAATATTTACCACATTAATTATGTAATAAAAATTAAAACTCCCCATGTTGTAATACATGGTTATAATACTCTAMAATCTTTATTTTAATTTTTAAATCATGATTTCAATTTATAAATTATAATAATAGGTAATAAAGAAAAATAAATAATAACGATTTTTGTAAATGCTTTCTGCAATTTATTTTTATGTTGGCACTGAATAGTTACTGAATATTTACTGTACACATTAAATTGTTGTCTGAACTTTGAATGAATAGACATTAGTTATAAAAATTGTATTACTTAATAAATCGTCTGAACGTTTAATGAGMTGRCATTGTCTATTAAAATATAATTGATACATAGTCTGTACATCAGTTATCGACTTGGAGAAATAAAATTATGACTCTTAGAAAATTAGAAAATTAACTTTTGATTTTATTGAACTCAAACTAGCTTTTGGGAGGTAAATCGTCATGCATGGTCCAACCATTAGTACTCAAACAAAAAATTACAATATTTGAGTACTCATTAG